TCCAGTGAGCTGAGCAGATGCCTGATAGACTAGACAGGGGTGGAAGAAAGAAACTGAACAAAGAGTAAACTGCCATCTCAGGCAACTCCCTAGTAAGGTTGACCGGGAGGCAGGACCACAGGGAAGTGACTGATGGGCTCGGTTTAGCCTCCTTTTGGGAATAAGCATCATCTCAGAGAGTTGCTGCATCCATGTCCATTGACACTGCCTGTTTAGGACATTGGCTACTATCTCTCTCTTGCTCTCCACTAATTCAGTTCCAAGTTAGTGTTGGGGGAGTTTTAGCACAAGTGACTCAATTTTTCACTTTAGTCACCTGTGTTGGGATCTGGTACAGAAGCTGAGCCCAAAAGTCTTAAGTATTAACAGTCTTCATTAGTTATTTTTTTGCCTCAGTGTGCTCAAGGCTAGAGAATCAATACCCAACAACAACAACAGCTATTGGTTCAGCAAATCTTATTGATGCTTCCAAATGACAGACACAAAGGTAAAAGGAGGACCTGTCCTTTTGCAAAGGTGCATAAGTCATTACCTAGTCTGTGAACTGGACTTTTCCTGTCTGCTTGGAGAGCTCCCTGAATGCCACTGCTTTCATCCTGCTGCTTCCTCCCTGTTCCTCAGTGCCGAGGGTGAGGGTGCTGTGAAACACCAGGGCCTCCTGTTCCCTTGCTGCAGACTGAGCGTTCTGCAAGAGCAGGAATGGCATCCAGCGTCCTCTGTTGATGGAGCCTGGAAGAAGGCTTACAAAATAGGTGCTCAGCCAGTGTTGGGGTTGGCAGTGACTGGGGTTTTTTTGTTTTTATGTTTTGTTTTTGTTGTTGAGACAGGGTTTTTCTGTGTAGTCCTGGCTATCCTGGAGCTTGCTCTTTAGACCAGGCTGGACTCAAACTCACACAGATCTGCCTGCCTCTGCCTCCCGAGTGCTGGGATCAAAGGTGTGCACCACCACACCTGGCCTTGTTTGGTTCCTTTACAAAGATTATTCGATGCCATTCTTATTATAAGCAATACCTGGGCTGGGGGCTGGGATGCAGCTTAGGGTAGCCACTTGCCTGGTATTGATGTAGTCCCAGGTTTGAACACCAGCAATTACTCTTCTCTGGTATTGTATGGTTTTCAGGAGAATTCTAGAGTGTCACCAGGCCATTCAAGGACAGTCTGCTCTACAGAGTGAGGTCCAGGATAGTCAGGGCTCTGTTACACAGAGAAACCCTGTCTCAAACAAACAAAAATTTTTTTTCTAGAGTGTCTTGGTACGCTAATTTGTTTACCCCTGCTGTCATGAATATTTGCTATTTGCAACTCCCTCATCATCATGCCTTTGTTCATCATGGAAGTCCTTGGGTTGGAAAGTGTTGACATTGGGAAGGCTGGTGGCAAGGTTTGTAACAAGTTGTGCCCTGCTGGACCTATGTGCACCATCCTTCCAGAAAAGTGGTTCTCAACCTGTGGGTCATGACCCCTGGGGAATGAACAGTTCTTTCCCAGGGTCTCACATCACCTGTATGCATATCAGACGCTTGCATTATGATTCATAACAGCAGCAAAATTGCAGTTATGAAGTAGTAATGAAAATAATTTGATGGTTGGGGGTCACCACAGCATGAGGAGCTGTTTTGAAGGGCCACAGTATCAGGAAGGTTGACAACTGCTGCTCTAGAGTCTTGGAGCAGCTGCGTCCGTGGTGCTCTACTAAAGTCCTTCCTGGTGATGAGGGAGAGACATGGGTCCTAAGAACTTTGACCTAAGCATTGGGGGTTGCTCTTGGGCTGCTATAACACTCTGAGACTTGCCTTCTTTTCTGACACTTAGGCACTGTCCGAGCCCCTGGAGTCCCGCTGGCTGAAGTATCTAGAGAAGGGCTGTGAGGACCAGGAGCTGGAGAGAGAAAGAGCAGCTCTTAAGACACAGCCCTCAGCCAGGGCCAAGTGGCCAAGTCTGCCTTGCAGTACAGTGCGACCCAGGAAGAGGTGCCAAGCGGGTCTCATCCAGCCATCCCCATGCCCACGCTGACTCCTGAAGGGGGGGTTGGGAGCAGCTCCTAGCAGTCACTAAGTGGGGCTACTCGTTTGGACTCCAATGGGTAGACAAATGAGCAACAACCATCACTGCTAACCCTTAGACTGCCAGCTGCCTGGCAGAGAGGAGCAGGCTAGCTAGGCTACCAACCTCATGCCCATAACTGCAGTCCTGAGGCGGCGGAAACAGGAGTACCATGAGTTCAAGGCCAGCATGGAAGTATGGCCAAAGTAATCAGTGGGCCCTGGAGTTTTTATTGTGAAGTTTCTCCAGACTTTCAGGCGTCTCAGTAAGTTTCTGGAGAAACTGTTAGGCTTGGGATGCTGCATGGCTCTTAAAGGGCGCAAATTACAATCTCAAGTTAGAATAGTCTAAAAACAACAAACCAGAGAAGAGGCCTGGCTGGGACGTTACTGGAGGTGGTGTAGGAACCTGTAAGGAATGAAAGATCCCTTCCCATGTCAGGCCAGGTGATCAGTTTCTCTCTGTGAAACCGTGGGATGAGAGAGCTTAATGACTGATAGCACTTCTTTCCCTCTGCCAGGAAATGGAATCAGCAGATCGGGCAGCCTGCACACAGCCTGCGTGGCCAGGACGTGGACAGTGTGGAGGACAGCTTTCAATGCCAGGTCAGTGACCATGGAGCCCATATAGGATTGCATGCATGTCTGCCTACAGATGGACACACACATGCAATAGCAGAGCTTTAGGCCAGGACCTTGTGTGTGATAGGCATGAATAGTGCTGCTAAGCTATGCTCCCAGCCCCATGGAATTTGTTTGGGTTTTGTTCTTGGAGACATGGCCTTGCCACATTGCCTAGGCTGCCTCAGACTTTTGAGCCCGGGTTATAATATCTTCTCTGTTCCTCGTGAGCAGCTGAGACTGTAGGTGTGAGGCTTGAATAGTATCTTTCTTCACAGTTGATGATAGGAGATTTATATACTAAAAAGTCCAACTTCCAGCGTGAGATTCTTGTCTTTTCTGCTTAAAGCATGGTAACACATACCTTTAATCTCAGCACTCAGACAGACACAGATTGTTCTGTTTGAGTTCAAAGCCAGTCTACTTTACAAAGCAAGTTTCAGGGTACATGGTAGATGCTGTTTCTGGCCCCTCTCCCCACCAAAAATGGCCAATTCCTGAGCCCATTATCCCAGCAGGAGGCTGAGGCAAGAACATGAATTCAAGGCCATTCTGACATACAGCAAGATATCATCAAGGCCATCATCCCATGCAATTAACTTACAGCCAAGAGGAAAACCTTGAAACCTTGGAGCCAACTAAGACTGTCAAGGAAGGTCTAAGCAAGACTGTTTTCATCCTGCAGAGTGGAGGAACTTGGTTAACCTGCTCACAAAAGGAGTTGCCCTACGTTTCCAGGGAAGGGCACTGCTCTTTCACACAGTGTGCTTATGCTCAGGCCTAGCAGGCCCTGCAATACATTCAGCACAGCTGAGTGGAGATTTTGCTTTGCACTGCTATGGAAGCCTAGGAATGGGGTTCTTGCTCTTTCAGCCCCTCTGTCCCTAAGAGGTTAGCCAAGGCCTGCCCAGCTCAGCCTCAGACTACATGCCGAGCATGGCCCAAACCAAGAGACAGTTCCATTTCTGACATTTAATGAACTACCTAGTGTTCCCAGTATGTATAGTCCCATTGATTCGGGAGTCATGGTAGTAAGTTGCAGAGCCTTTATGGTGACCAAACACTGTAGCTGAGTCAGCGTTCAGTCTCACCAGTCTGTGGTTCTAGAGGAACTAAGACTTTGGAAGCTTCTGAGTTCACAGCAAGTTCAGTGGTAAAGCCAACATCAGCAATCAGGGTCACAGTCTCTTCAGCATCATCTGAGCAGTCATGGTGCAGAGATCCAGTGTTGCTGTCAAATTTCTTGGTAAGCAGTGAAACCAAGTTTCCTGTGCATTTTTTTGGTTTCTGAGCTGGGACACGCCAGGCCTAGCACCTTGTCACATCCCATAGAGACCTCAGTCCAGCTTTGAAGAGATGTTCTGGCCGACTGGGAATGTGCAGGCCTCATAGACTGCATCTTTCTAGGTGGTGGGTGTCTAGGCTCCTCCCTGCTCAGACCTGACCCAAAGCTTCCCAGGAGACGATTCACTCAATGGCAGTTTATCTTCTTTTATGTGGAAAATGTAGTCATGGGATTTATCAGGTCAGGTTAAGTAAGGCGGGGACAGTTATAAACTTTGATTTGCTAACATCTCAATGACAGTGTGTCCCTAACCTGCAGGGCTTAGCCAGCAGTTATGTAGGAAGCAGGTTAGCTCTGAGGGTCCTGCCAAACTGAACGGAACCCTTTCTCTGGTTTCTTTCAGAACTCTCCTGGCCTGTTTGGGATGGAGCAGCAAGGCAGCACCGCTGCCCTCAGTACTACGAACCATGTCAGGGAGCTTGGTTTTCCCAGGTGGAAACTACCAAGTTCTGTCCTGCAGGTTAACACCCCATCTTCTAAATGGGCACGGTTTCTCTTGTCACCTGAGAGTACCACACATGTGGATGGGAAACCATCTAGTTCTATGCAGGAGAGCTCCAGGCTAGCTGACCCAGCACGAGCTGAGCAAGAGACTGCTGAGACCAATACTCCAGGGGAAGGCCACTTCAGCAGGGCCCCTGCCACTGTCCAGCTTCCTCAAACTACTCACACTACCACATCTGGCCCAGACAGGCCTGGCAGGAAGACCCCAGAGCAGCCATGGGCTACGGAGACTCTTCAAGCAGATGGAAGGCCCTTGGCTCAAGGAGCACAGAAAGCCCCACCCAGGCAACTGAACAACCTCTTTACAACTGGAGAGGACTTTGAGGATGACCTGTAGCCTTCACTTTGATCCCTGTTATGTGGTCCTATGCCAGTCCTCCATCTCACAGATGGGGGTGCTTTGGAACAAATAACCCAACAATAAACATGCCTGTCAAACAAACAGATTATTTTTCTTGCTACAACACTAATAAGGACTACATGGTTGGTTAAAGTGCATATGCCATTTTATTACAGGTTACTTAAACATCGAGTCAGAGGAAGATACATGGGGTTTTCTTTAAGCATCAACATTAAACACAAAAACTGAAGTGTGGTCATTAAAAAGGGAAACAGTGCATAGTGAGACCCTTCAGTTAGATTCATGTGAGTTCTCCATCCCCAGGAGCCATAGGCCCCAGTTGCCTACCACTTTGACTCACTGTGGACAGCCCCCTCTTAACATAATTGTTTTACTTATTGAAAATAACTATTAGTGTGTTAATCACTTCTAACAAAGGAAACAGAAGGCCATCAGGCAAGAACTCTGGACTGTTGGTATGATGCTGGCGGCAAGATCAAATAGGAGTGCAGTCTGCCTCTGCAGCTCCCTGGCAAGGCCAGGCCTAGGGAAGGCAGAGGAAGGCCACCCACAGGTACCTAGCTCTGTCCTCAGGCACCAGCATGCGCACACCTGGAACTTTCCCCTCGTGTCACTTTCCTACTGCCTAAAAGGCTTCAAACATTCCCACCCGCTGACTCTGGAAGAATGCCAAGAACCTGGCCCTATAGAGGCCCTGCTGCTCTACTCAGGGTAACTAGAAGACAAAGGGGTGGGTTACGGGACTTGGGTACAAGCACTGTCACAATGGTGGAGGGTGCTTTGAATACTGGATTGTGTCCAGAGCAGCTCCGATGTCATAATTCTTGGTCTGTAGGAGCCTGGTGAGCCAGCCACCTTCATCAGAGAAACCCATGGACAGCATCTGGGAGAGTGACTCGATCAGCCGGGGGTCAGCCTCTGCCAAAACAAAACAGGAAGTAAGGATCCCTGGAGCACTCAAAACCTGGCAGCTGCTGCCTGCCAGGAGAGCCTCGCTGCTGAGCCTTACAGGAACCTCCGAGGCCAGCTAAAGGGCCAAACAGCTTGCTTTGTGACCTTTCAGTCTCCATTACAACTGTTCAACTCTGCCATGAAGCATGAAACAGCCAGAAGGCACGTAGACAAATGAATGTAGTTATTTTCCAATAATATGTTATTGCCAGATGTGGTAACTCAAGCCTATAGTCCCAACACGTAAGAGGTAGAGGCAGGGAGATCACTCAGGGACATCCTGGGCAACAATGAGACATCATCTCCAAACCAACCCAAATAAAAACCCTTTACAGATGATGAGTGAGTCTTCTCTAACTGCCTGTGACTCCCCGCCCTCTGTTACTTGGCATATGCATCGCTTGTGCTCATGTTCCGGTGGGTGCATATGTGTGTGTGAAGGTCTGGAGGCCCAGGCTGAAGTAGGAGTCTTCCACCTGACTGAGTTAGGGTGTCTCAGTGAACCCACAGCTTACAATCCCAGCTAGCCAGCTTGTAAAAGGGTCTGTGTCCTACGGGCTTGGACTATAGAAGCCGCCACAGCTGCCCAGCTCTTGGATTTTTACATGGGTTCTGAGAACCTAAATTCTGAGCCCCGGGCTTGCTCGGCAAGCACTTGGTCAGATGAGCCAGCTTTCCAGTTCCCCTGGCCCCGCCTATGTTTTTAAAGCAGGCTGTGACTCTAGCCCAGAGCCTTGCATATGAGATAAGCAGTCTGCCACGGAGGTGCAAAGGTCTGTGTAGCCAGGATGGCTTTGAACTCATAATAGCACTTCCCCAGACTCACACAGGCTACCCCCCCCCCCTCAGTTTGCTGCCCATTTCATATAGTAAATACTCTTTGAAGCCCAAAGGCCAAATCTGGCCCAGAGATCAGTAATCCACCTGAACCCTGCTGCTCTAGGACATGGGAGCTGGGCTGCCTTTTCTGCAACGTGTCCCCTTGGGACTGCCCATCCCTGTCCAGCTATTTACACACACTTCTGCCGGCTTCTACGGGGGCCTTGGCTGTGGCACCTGCCATTAAACTTTGCAACCCCTGAGGAAAGGTGAGTCCATCTGAGTCTACTGCATGGTGCAAGGCAGCCCGCAGCCAGTGTTTCCTTACACCTGCCTTCTCAGAACACCTGGGTATGGAGGTTTTGAAATTCCTAAAATGAGATGAAGTTCCTGTTACTCAGCGTAGACAGAAGAGGTCAGAGCCAGGTTCTAGTTTTCTCTGATGTCAGCTGACAGCCCCAGTAGGCAGTGTGCTGCAGGTAAGCCCATAATCCCAAAGCCACCCTGGACTACACAACTAGGTAATACCCTAAAAAACAAAACAAAACAACAACAACCCAGGCCGGGCTACCCTTTTTGTGTTGCCAAGACCAGACAGGACAGGATAGTCTAAAAACAACGAAGGAAAATGAAACATGGTGACCACATGCCTGGTGGGAGATGTGGGTACAGGGCAGCTTCCTTTAGACCTGTGGGTCCTTCCTGCGAGGGGTCTAGAGAGCTTGGCCCTTCTGATTCTGGCATCTGTAGAGACTGGAGTTCACCTGTGGATGGGTCCACTTCTTTGGAAGACAAATGTGTCCAGTCATCATCTCCTCCTGAGCAGTTATCAGATTCCATCTGTTCCTGGAATAGAACCTGCTGTGAGCACAGGGGCCTAAGCGATTGACAGGTATGACCTCACTATCTGCTCCCAGCAAAGTGTACCACATTCCAGGCACTGGAGAGTGGCCTGCAAAAAAACAAACCTCTTTTTGGTTTTCATGATGCTAGGGACTGAACCCGGAAACTCATGGACATCAGGTAAATGCCCTGATCCAGATCCAAGTAAGATTTTCTCCACAGAATTCTACCAGATGGCTCAAGGTGACTGAAGACCCCAAGGGCAGAGCAAGGAGAATGGGATCCCTCAGGCTGCAAGATGGCTGGAGCTGTGACTGGGATGCCAGGAGACCTACCTCTGGCTGTTCCATTGACTCCAAGGCGATCTTTTTCATTTGCTCTGTCAGAGACTGTGCAGGGCCCTCCTCTGCCCCATCCGATTTGCTAACTTCTGAAGAGCAGCTACTTGGCTGAGTACTGCTCTTCCCTTCTGTGCCTGCGCTGGAACTTTCTGGGGAGGCTGGTGTCAGCCGGCTTCTCTTCCCTCCATGTTCCACATCAATGTCAACTTCAATGCCTAGAGAGGAGGAAGAATTGAGCTGTCTAGTCCAGAGGCCTTTCCTGCATCTCAGAGAGTTGGGCATTGTGGGCTGAGGAAGTCCTTTCAGACTTGGTCCCCAGCAGAGCATATGGATGAGGACACTGGCAGTCAGCATTAAGGATACAGTGGCTGGACTCAACCCCTGAACCACATAGACATAGCTCTACATGTGACCAGATAACCAAGTGATAGGACAACCCCAAGGGCCAGAAACGAACAGCTGAGCTCCTTCTCCAATCCCAACCCTGCTAATAAGCCCATCCATCACATCGGTCCTTTCCTTTTCTCCAAACCACAGAGTTCATCTATAAGAAATCTTGTTCTCCCAACCCAGCAGAGCAAGATGCAGAGGCCAGGCCTTTCAACCCCCACAGTTCAGGACCCCTGATTCAAGTTCACATCTGTTTATTTCCTACTTTGTCAATATTTACCTCGTTTTTCCCCATCCTTTTAGGAGGCAACTCTTGGCAGGAAAGAAAAAAAGAAAAAAGCATCCAGTGCTGTTGGAGTTTGGTCTGACACGTTACTGGCTCTTAAGATCTGGTTACACCCATCTTACCTATCTTTGTTTTGTAAACCTGCCTTAGACATATCTGATTGATTAAACAGCCTATACCTACGCAGGGCAGAATGGGGTAGGCATGGCTAAGGTTCCTGGGTTTGGAGGACAGAGAGGATCACAGGAGACAGAAGAGAGGAAGGATGCCACAATGGGTTAGCTGGAGAAGAAACTTGGGGCTGGGAGGAAGGACTCTAGTAATGGTGTGAAAAGACCCAGATGAAGAATAAAAGCAAGTATTTATAAGATTATGGATGGGTGATAGATGGTTAAGGTGGATGGCACTGGATGAGGGCTGGGAGGATGGTGAGGTAATTCAGACAGTGTAGGCAGGAAAATCTGCCCAGCCCAAGGTAAATAAGGCAATTATAAAATCTAAAAGGTGTCTGTGCCTTATTATTTATGATAGTGGGTTAAGATAACACCACCATGATAATTATAGGGCTAATAACAAGCATTGTATAGCCTAATACTCCATTTTTTATTTACAGCAGTGTTTACGCTGTTAGCACGATGTAAATGTGGCTTGTTTCTAGGATGTATGTCTTCTCTCAACTGTCAAGGGTATATCTCTCCTCCTGCTTCCTAACTCCCTGCTTCTTCTCCACAGTCTCTCATTTTCTATGGTTCATGATTATCAGGCCTGGCTTTTCCTTGGAGAGCACTCTCAGTGGTCAGGCCCTCCTCCAGACAGCCAGGCACATGTGATTTAACTGATACTTTTTAGCAACGGTTAGCTGGATCCTCACAGGAGGAGTCCCCAGAGGGCATTCCTGTGACATACTCAGAACCTAAGCTTTCTGTCACTCAGTATTTTTGTATTATAATTAATTCATTTTAGTTTGTGTGTGTGTGTGTGTGTGGTGTGTGTGTGCGCTTGTGTGCTTAATGCCCATGAAGGTCAGAAAAGAGCAGCAGATATGGAGCTGGAGTGACTCCACAATTGTGAGCCACCATGTGGGTGCGAGGAGCTGAACCTGACCTCTGCAGGAGCAACACTGCGCCCCCTCCAGCCAGTTTTAAGCATTATCTTATTATTTCCTTTGTTAGATTTTTTTATGGCACCTGTGCTTTTTCATAAATCTAATACTTTTCTGTTCTCCAGAATGACACTCACGTTCACCTTCCTTGCATACTTTACCACATGCTGAGGCTCTTCTCACTGGCCAGTCATCTGTGGCTTCTGATCCTAGAGGCAAGAAGCTGTCTACAGGACCAGGGCCACTGTCAGCTTTACACATGCAGGTGTCCAGAGACAGGCACTGGGGAAAGCCAGCTGCAGGAGCTGGGTTTCTTTGTCCGGTGTTTGGCCTCCCCTCAACAGGGACTCTTCAGGCTAGGGAGGCTGAAATGCTGGGCCCTTGTTCCCCTGCTCATTTCTGATGCCCACTGCAGGTTGGTGCCTTAGCTTATGTCGAAAAAAACTTCTCAGAGTCAGACGCTTCAAGCACTGAACATGAAAGGGCTGGTACTTGGCATCAGCTGGCTGTGTGGACCCAGAGCTCTCTGACAGACTCCTATGAAAGGTCTTCTAGCGCTTGCTTGTGCCTTGGCCTGTTACGCCCACCTCTCATACTTCATAGTACCAGGAAAGAGAGTCTTGTTGGGGTTTTTGGTTTTTTCGAGACAAGGTTTCTCTATATAGCTCTAGATGTCCTGGAACTGCTCTGTAGACCAGGCTGACCTCAAACTCATAGAGATCTGGCTTCCTCTGCCTCTTAAGTGCTGGGATTAAAGGTGTGTGCCACAGCTGCCTAGCTGTTGGGTTTGTTTTGTTTTTGACACTGTGTAGCTCTGGATATCCTGGAATTTCCTATGTAGAGTAGGCTGGCCTGGAACTCAACGGTTCTGAGTAGCTATTTTCCTAGTGCTGGAACAAAAGGCATGTACCATCATGCCCAGCAGGGTCTTGCTCCTTACAAGGGTTCCCTGTACAGTTGCCTCTCTTTAGGTTACTCCCTGCCCTCCATTTCTTCTTATTCAACTTTTTTTTTTTTTTTTTTTTTTAACAGTTGTGTATGTGAGGTTAGAGGACAAGCCACAGGATTCAGTTCTCTCCTACCATGTGGGTGAAATGTTGCTCAGTGGTAGACTGCCTGCCAAGCACAACACAGCTCTGGGTTCTGTCTCTAGAGCCACCCACACAGAAAGCTGAAGTAAACCAAAACATCCCTTGAGCCCCGTCCCAAACACCCACACCCCATGGTTTTCTAAGCAAGTACAGGGCAGGATCAGAGCTTTATTGAATTGGGGGTTTCTTAAAAGAATAATGAAACCCCAAGACTATAGGGCTCAGGGAATGTTTGATGGTCTGTGATCTGCTGTCCCCAAAGCCTGTGTTTTTCAAAGATCCAGTTAAGAAAGCCCTGGTGTTAGTGACAACAGCCTCTGAGCCAAACAGTGCTGGTCCTTCCTGGCTGGTTCTCAAAACACCTATCAATAAAAGGCCCTGGCTCTAGCTCACCCAGCCTCTGCCTTATGGGAGGTTGTGCCAATTCCTTCCCTCTGCTCTCCTCACACAATCCATTAGAGGCAGTTAGCATGAGCCATTCCATGCTTAGTTCCTCAGAGAGTGGAACAGAAAACTCCTATTACTTCCACAAGAGCTCAAAGAGCTCAAGCTACCTCAGTTCAAACTACCCAGAGTCTTTTTTTTTTTTTCCTGGAAACTGCTGATTTGTGCAGCCCCAGGGATCCCAGTGCTTAGCACACTTCAAAGGTCTTTATCCTCCCAGAGGGCCTCTGAGCACTGCAAAATAATCTACACTGCCAAATAGTTTTGGTGCTGGGAATTGAACACAGGATCCTTCCACTCTACCACAGAGCACATCTCAACCTAAGTTGTTCAAATTAACTTCAAGGCCAAGATGTCACTGTTGCCTCAAAGCTGTGCCCTGGGCAGCATGAGCAAAGATGGCCTCAGCTCACAGCAAGTGGTGGTCATGCATGGTGCTACAAGATGGAGGGCACTGGTATGATTAGGGGACCTCTCTCATCGGCATTTCTCCAGACACTGGACACAGCCTTCGCACAGGCTCCCGTAGTCACCTCCTAACATGGCAGGCATAGTAACAGGATGTGGGCAAGCACTTTCTGAACCACATCAGTATGCCTCAGAAGCAGTGCCTAAGGTCAGAGTGCTGAGGTGATGCCATGCTCCCACCTCGGCAGACCTCCTCTGCCCTCTGCACAGAGCCAGGCATGACCCAGAGCACTTTCCTGTAGCACCTCCCTCCTCTCAGAAAGGTTTCAAGTTCTCAAATGAGAAAGAAAAGAAGTCACAGTATTTGGGAGTCCAAGGCAGGAAGAATTCTACAAGTTTAAGGACAGCGTGGGCTACACAGAGCTTTAGCCCAACCTGGACTAAAGTGAGACCTTAATTAAAGAAAAAAGAAGAAACCGCCTGCTTACAAGTCTAAACAAATGCAACTCACTTGGCTAAGAAAAAGCTGGCTGCTGTTACCCTAAAGACTGTGATAAGCTAATCCATCCGCTAATCTATCTCTCCCTCCCCACCGGCTCATTCTGCTTTGTGTGGAAAAATAACCAGCCAGGATCTCAACCTTGAGGCACCCATTCCAGTCCTTGGCAAAAGTTAATTTTATGCAACAAAACCTTGCTGGTGTCCAGCACGTATCTGCTCTGGCCTCTGCAGCATGCCAGGGAAGGCTGCCAAAGGCCACTTGCATACTGAGTCAATGTCGTGGTTTGAATAAAATCACCCCCACAGGCCCACAGGGAGTGGCACTATTAGGATATGTGGCCTTGTGAGGGTAGATGTGGCCTTGTTGTGTCACTAGGCAGGGTGGGCTTTGAGGCCTCAGAAGCTCAATCCAGTTCACTTTCTGCTGCCTACCAATCAGGATGTAGACCTCTCAGCTCCTCATCCAGCACCATGTCTGCCTGCACACCACCATGCTTCCAGTCGGGACTAGAATGGACTCTTTCCTTTATAAAAGTTGCCATAGTCATAGTCTCTCCACAGCAATAAAATCCAAACTAAAACCAAGCCACGAGGGTGTCTCATGGGATGGCAAGGAAGATCACTCACCTAGAGGGCTGAGGGCAGCTGCCACACTCTCCCCCACATCCTTCAGGAAATTGACGCTGGGGTCCTCTGATGGAGCAGAAGCTGTTGATTTTTACAAGGAGAAAGAGGACCTCTAACTCTGTGACTCTGCCGCCCCTCGAAGCCCCAGGGCTTGTGTGTCAAGGTTCCCATCATCTCAGTAATCACTGTCTTGGGACCCCTGAGTACACATGGTGCTTTCTCCTCCACCCTCCCACTCTGCACCCTTGGTCCCCAAGTGGGTCACATATTGGGCCTCTCTGGCTTCTGTACCAGAGGCTCAGTACAGACATTAGATAAATATTGACCTTGTTCTAGATGTGCTGTTTACTCAAAACCAAACATCCCAGATGGCTGTGCTGGCACATGTCTGTAACCCAAGCACTCCAGATGCCGGGCAGAAGAATCTCAAGTTTAAGGCCATCTTGGGGTATATGAGTTCTAGGCTAGCCAGGGCTACAGAGAGAACCTGTCTCAAGGGGGAAAAGTAAATTAAAAATTAAAAGGCAGAATCCCCAAATCTATAATGAGGAGCTACTTATAAGGTCTTTGCTTTTAGGTTTTTGAGACAGGGTCTTACGCCAAGGTTGGCCTTCAACTCCTCTGTTCCTCCTGCCTCTACCTCCTGAGCGCTAAGATTACGTCTATGTGCCACCATACGAGGCTTGGTAACCATGGAATTTTTGGTTTTGATTTTTAAAGATTTGAGCAACTCTGGCCCTGGTATTTCTGAATTAACCCAAAACAAAAGAAAACATTCTAGAAATCCAGCCACCTACTCATATCTCAGAAGGACAGCCTGGCAGGGCAGGGTATGCCACATGTGGAAATTAGTGAGCTTAGGCATCCAGTTCAAGTACCAGCCTTACCCGACTCAGCTGTGGGACAAGGACGAGCGTCCCCTGCCCGAGGAGGCCGTGGACTCCAGTTCCCTGGAGGGCCCATCTCCCAGCCAGGCCAGCCAAAATGCCCATGTTTCAGCTTCCGAAGCCAGCGGCTGTGAGAGAAGCTCTGGGCAGGAGAAAGCAGGACAAGGCAGTGAGGGGTCAGGGTCTCCAGCCCTCCCCACCCCCGCCCCTAGGACTGCAGAGAACCAGCTCACATCAGAGAGGTGGCCAAAGGGGTTGGGGAAGATGAGCTTGCTGTGCTCCCTGTGCAGGCCCTTCCCCTCGCAGACGCTGCACAGGTCGTAGTCTGGGCACACACTGCACTTGTAGCGAGTTCCCACCACAGGCCCATTGCAACCATCACAAATGACATTGGGGTGCACCATGTTCCGGGATGCCTCCTGGGCACAGGGTGGACGATGGTCCCGCCGGCACTCCTTCTTCTCTGCAGGGGGAGACAAAAGCTATCAGAGCAAGGCCCTAGGTTCTCCCCTGCTTGTCACTGCAGCCCTGCTGGTCGGAGTCCAGCCAGACACTTAGGAGCCAGGAGGTCCAGGCCCTGCACCTGTTAAACACTCATGGCCCACGCAGCAGGAGCATGTCTACCCCTGGCAGCCCCCGGGCACCAGAGCGCATCCTTGTCCTAGACAACTCAGACTCCTGGCCTTTCGAGGGATGTCCCACAGCTAGCAGCTGGGTTCAGGCAGTGCCCCAGCGCAGCTCTTTACCTTTAATGTAGATGCGGAAGATGTCATCCTTCACATAGGACATGGCCATTGTCAGCTCCTCATCACTGGAAAAGGCAACCAAGTCCCCGTCCTCATCTAGATTGTTTAAGAAAACAACACATCAGGGCCAGGGACACAGCTCAGTGATGGAGCACTTGCCTAGCATACAGAGTCTTAGGTTCAATTCCCAGCAACAGACAGCAAAGGCTTCTAGGCCTCTCTGCTGAGTACACAGTGCTGCACTGCACAGAGCCCGGTGCTAAGGGGGCATCTTCAGCAACTCTGACTCGGCCTGGGTGCTGGGCGAGTGGCACGATGGCCGCAACTCTTGATACAAGCAGAATGAGTGTATGCTCCAACCTAAGACTACAGGAGGCCCAGCACATGCGATGTGTACCCAGCCTCCGGCCACTCAACCACCGGGCCAACATGCCCTCAAGGTCATACCTAACCAGGCCTGGTCCACTTTCACCTGGGAGATCTCTGCCAGGACTCTAGTTCTGGCCCAGTCCCTCAAAGGCCTCAATCTACAAAAGGAAAGGAGATAAGGGCTAACCTGCCCCCCTCCTTTCAACTACATGGCTAGAAACCATTGTGCATTCTTTTTTTGCTATTGTTTTTTGTTTTTCTAAACAGTTCTCTGTAGCGCCTTGGCTTTGTAGACCAGGCTGACCTTGAATGCACAGAGATCTACCTGCCTCTGCCTCCCAGTGCTGGGGTTACAGGCGTGGGACACCTTGCCAGTGTGCCACCTTGTCTGGCTACTTCTAGGTTTTGTTTTTTACTTACGGATGCATGTGTGTGCTCACGCTATGCATGCAGATTTATGTGTATGCATGTGCCCACCCAGGCCAGAAGACAAGGTCAGATCCCGAGGAGTCTTGCGCTGGCTAATGTGAGTGCTGGGACCAGAACTTGGGTCCTCTGAAGAGCAGCAAGGGCTTAACGTAGAGCTACCTCTGTTCTGGCTTCATGTTTATGTTAGCACACAGGTGTTTCTTATTAGTACAAACGGTCTTCAGTCACCTCATACAGGCCAAGCTACACATAGGCAGGCTGGGCTAAGCCTGTGGGTAACCATTCAGCAACAGCTACCTCAAGAGAGATACCTCAAAGGTACCAACTGCACAGCATCCACCAACTAGAGACCAGACAGGCTAAACATGACCCATCCAAACACACTATTCTTCACCACAAAGAGAAATGAAGTACTGCCCAGGCAGGCAGCACGGAAGTTGGAGTCCTTGCCTAGCATATGCGAAGCCCTGGGTTCCCTCCCAGTACCAGAGAGGGAGAAAAGTACTGGTAAGAACCACAACACAAACGGGACTTGGACATACTAATAAGAGAATGAACGAAACTACATTGTGCCCGCGTCGTGTACAGAGCTGTTCTGCGGAGTTTCAGGACAGCCAGAGCTGTACAGAGAAACTCTGTGTTGAATAGCCAACAAAAACTGCATTAATAATAAGGTGTCCTAATAGTAAAATAAATACTAAAGTACATCAGCCACTGCCTGGGACTGGAAAGAATGGGAAATGACAAACAGGAAAAAAATTACATAAAACACAACAATTTATAAAACTATGAGACTCTAAATTGTTGAGTGACAGCCTAGCATGCATGAGGCTCAGGATTATCCCTACTACAAAATAAATCAGAGAACTTGGAGGGACAATTTGGAGATATACAGGCGGGCCCAGCCACAAAGTGAGACCTGTTTCTGCTAACACCCACTTCTACTGCGTGAACTGCACAGGACCTACGTTACTGAAAATATTCTGTCCAGGAGTACTGATCAACACCTGTGATCCCTGAACTGGAAAACTGAGACAACAGGGTTTAGTGAATGAGGCCAGCCTGAACCACTCGTGAATTCAAGGCCAATCGGGTTACGTGGCCTTATCTCAGGATGGAGAGGGAAAGAGAGAGAGGAAGAGAGGCGAGGAGGGGGAGGAGCAACCGACCAACCTGGCCAACCAACAGTCCTCCAATAACGTCTCAATACCGTCCCCACCCTGAGGGCGGGCCTTGGCCACTTCTCCCATGTCAACAACTCCTAGCTCCACCCCACGCAGCCATCAAGCCACTCCAGCGCAGGAGACTGAGCTAGTTCCGGGGTCCCCGACCTCTCCTCCCACGGGCCGGGCCGCCCCACCCAGCCCCCCGCTGCCTGTTTACCGGCGTCACTCCTTTCCACCCCTCCTCCACGTCAGCCCGGTCCCTGCTCTTTCGGGCTAACTGAACCCAGCACCTGGCGTTATGGAAGCGGGCGAAGTGCGGGATGTCAGTTGAAACCCGAGCGGCCGCCTGACCACCCAGTCCCCGCGGGGAGCCTGAGGGAGGACGCCGCGTCCTCGCCCAGGCCTTGCCACAGCGTGGCGGGGGGGGGGGGGGGGGAGGCTGGCTGCCCCGTCCCTGCTCCTCACCGCGGTAGTGCGCCTGGAAGCCTCCAGGCCGCAGCGCGGGGAACAGCACGGCCACCCGGCTCAGCAGCCTCTCGCACGGCCCTGGGCCGGCCGCGGCCTCGGCTTCCGCCTCCGGCTCCGGGCTGAAGCAGAAGCTGAAGCGACGGATCTCGCGGGCCGCCTCCTCCTTGCCCAGAAGATAGGCCTTCACGGTGAAGGAAGCCATAACTGCCTGCTGGGTAGGGACAAAACAGCTGGGCAGCGGCTCCGCGGAGCCCGGTATTTATAGGAAACGTGGAGCCCCGCCTCCTGTGGGCGTAGCCGTGTGAGCCCCGCCCCTCCCCGCTGGCTGGCCTGGCCCGCCGCACGAACCCACTCGACAGGGCCTTTGCCAGGTATGGGGCCGGGGGCGCCCTCACTGACGACTCCCTTTCTCTCCCTCACGGTACATGGGGGACCCCAAGAGACCAGCCTCAGCCTCTACTTGTTGGGAAAAGGACCGGTAAGTGTCCGAGCCCTGGTGCCTCTCAGGTTTGGGCCTACCTATGACTCAGCAGTGTAGTCCCCAAACCAAGGGGATGCCCAGCGCAGAAGCTAGGACACAGGTGCCTACCGTCAGGAGGCCACTAGCAGGACAAACAAGCTGGTTCACAAGATGCTGTTCTGACCCTCCGAAGCTTAGTTTCCCCGGTGGCAGCCCCCCCACCCTACTCTCTCTCCCGTGCCTCCACCGTGACCAGGCCCTAAGTGCATAAAAGGACATCGCCTTCTTACCTTAGGCCTGACCCAGTCTGACAAGGATCAGGTTGAGAAGGGTCAGACAAGCACTGGTGACTTCCCACAAACCCACCCTGTAGGGGCCTGGCCAGGGCTCCGGAAGCAGCAGCAGTGGCCACCGCCTGTTCATTGCAACCAGTCGTTCCCACAGCGGTACCCCCACATACACCTGCGCCATTAAAGTCATTAGTGTGTGTCTGTGGTGTGTGTGTGAGGCCCTAATGGCCTCACAGACAGCCAAAGGGATCAGACCACCTGCCCTCCAACCAGGAACCAAAATCCGAACTTTAGCCAGGCCTGTGCCACGGGCTTGTTGATGCCAGCTGTTTGGGATGCTAAGTCAGGAGGACACCAAGTTTAAGGTCTGCCTGAGCAACCTGGTGAAACTGTCTCAAAATAGAAAGTGATCCTAGCCGGGAGGGGTGAGCTCGGGAGGCAGAGGCAGGCAGATCTCTGTGAGTTCAAGGTCAGCCTGATCTACAAAGCGAGGCCAGGATAGCCAGGACTCCGTTAAACAGACAAACCTTGTCTGGAAAAGAAACAAAGAAAGAGAGTGATGGTAGCACTTGGGAGGAAGAGGCAAGAGGCTCAAGAGTTCAAGGCCAGCTTCAGCCACTTGAGGCCTCTCAAAAAATAAAGGAAGGGGCTGGAGAGATGGCTCAGTGCCCAAGAGCACTGTCTGCTCCAACAAAGGACCCGGGTTCAACTCCCAGCACCCGCCTGACAGCTCACAACTGTCTGTAACTACAGCCCCAGGTGGTGTGACACCCTCACACCAATGCACATAAGAAAAAAAAATTAAATTAATTTAAAAAAAGATTGCCCAGCCTGTAAGATCCAGTCAGAATTAGAGCCTCACTGTCTACTTCAGAGCCTCAGGGCTCTGCTGTTTTTAAAAAAAATAAAAATAATAAAGGCTGGGTATACAGTTCAGTAAGGATAGCGCTCATGAGGGTTTAACGTAGAAGGGGATGCCGCTAAGGGGGATTTGGTGCTGAGGGATGTCACAGCTCAGTGACAGAGCACCTGCCTGGAATGTATGACATCTTAGGTTCAGTCCTCAGTACAAAACCCAAACCAGGAAGTGCTGCTTTCTGTGGCAAAAGTGACCTGTTAGCTGTTATGATGACACACATCTGTAACCTCAGCTGAGTCAGGAGGCGTTCTAACTCGAGGCTAGCCCAGGAGGGCTTAGGAAGTCCTCTCAAAAACAAACGAAGTGAGTAAAAATCAAATGACCTCTAACAGGAACCCTGCAGACCATGGAGGTGGTCCTTCCAGTCATGGTCCTGTCAGCAGAGCTCAGACCTACTCAGACTTGTGGTAGAAGGACATGCTGGGCAGAATTGGAGCTCAAGCCATCTCCCTGAGTCGAGAGTCTCTAGACCAGCTCCGTAGGGCTCATGCCCTGATTCCCATCTTCTCCCTGAGTCTCTCTAGGAGCTGGGTTTGTGGGAACAGAAGAACCTCATCTCTTAGGAAGACTCAGCAAGGGACAGTGATTTGCCACACAAATGTAACCTCTTTTTCCTTGGTGACTGGAAGGTTCACCCTTGTGCCCTGTCCTGTGGAGACAATCCCATTTTAGGCTTCCCCCTCCATCAAATTTATTAGTATTTATATAAAATTGCCATTCACACAACAGATTTTATGGAAGAGTTGATTCAGGGGAAGAGAAGCAGAAGAGAGTTAGGGCCTAAGTGGGCCATGAGGGCAGAGAGACAGAGATGTGGGGAGGGGCACCCCAACAGGAAATGGGAGAGAATAAGAGAAGAGTGAGAAGAGGCAGGTGGGGGGGGGCTGGCAGCAGCGACCAGTGATGACAATACAGGTGGCTAAGTAACCTAGGAGTGGGCTAGTGCATAGACTTGTGAACTAACAAAGCTGATAGCCCAGGACAAGGCCCCTTAACCTGCACCTGCAGGACTCTCTGCTAATGAAGATAGGGAGTGGGGGGCTGTGTCCTGATGGCAGCTGCTGGCCAAGCATGACTCAGCAGCCCAATGGCCTGAGCGCTTAAAGCCTGAAACAGGCCAAACCTCCTATGGGACATCTGAGCCAATGGGAAACCACCAGGAACTCCTTTGCTTTGTCACTGGTGGGAGAGAGAAATGTCAGGAAATGGGGCCCTGGGGGAAGCTGACTCCTGCTTGAGGGAGAAGCCCTGAGTTCCAGGCCAGGCCAGCATGCCCTGTTGCCTAGAGCAGTTCAGGCTGTCTTCCCAGTTCCTGGGCCAGCCAGGGAGGTAAACAAGGCTGCGGTGGCTGGGGAACCCCCTGGCAGGGCCCTCTGTGGTCAGGTGGCCTGGGCCGGCTGTGAGTCAGAGTCCCATGATCCGGGTCATAACGGGAGATCCCAAGCTGCCGCCATTCATTCCATTGCCAGCAGGCGGGATGGAGAAGGGTCTTGGAGGCGGATGTGTGTGTGTGTGTCTGTATCTGTGTGTCTGTTGTCTGTGTCTTTGTGTCTGTCTCTGTTTGTACATGTGTCTCTGTAGGGCCCTACAGCAAAGTGAGCTATCAGAGGACAAGGTTACCAAAATAAATGAGACCATGAACTTGCCAATGTCTTTCTCGTGAGTTCCTTGTTGCCCCTCACCCTCTGAAGCACAGAATGATGGGAAGGGGAAAGCTTGGCACCTGAATCCAGGGATAGTACTTTTGACCATCTTTGCTGCAGGGGCCTAGCCTCATCTTTGAAATGGGTCAGGAGTGGGAGGGGCTGAGCTGCCCCTTCCTGGGTTATTCCCCACAGGTGAGCTAATTATCTGTTGTCCCTCGGGAGTGTAGGCTGCCAGTGAAATCAGTGAGTAGGCCTTAAACAGGTTGAGGTGGACAAGTGGGGAATGCAGAAGAGACTTAAGCCATGGGGTGGGCTCTGTGAGAAGAGTGACCCGGGACCTCTGCTGTCTGTCTGCTTGGCTACCTCCAAGGCTTGGCAATGGTTTTCTCCAGTTGGATTCATTTGTTAGGTGTCAGGTAATCCATATGTCTAGAAATAAGCTCAGGCTGGACTGCAGAGGATTTCTGGTGGTTAGATAAAAGCCAGGACCTTATGAAATGGGTTTTCATCCATAAAAGGACCCGTTTCTTTGTCTCTGGCCAAAGGGACATGGTTTTCCATTGACATATACCTGTAGTTGAATATTAAAGCTGGCCTCCAGGGTCCTTCAGGACTTATTACACATTTCCAAGCCCTCATCCTGGCCCTGCTCACCTACCCAGCCCCCCTCTTACCCAGTACCTGTTTGTTGTCTATATAGCAGCAAGTTTTTCCCCCTTCCTACCTACCCCCATATCTCTGGCTACCTCCACTATTCTTGCCTGCTTCCCTAGCCCTGGCCATGTCCAGTCTACTTCTGTTTCTCTCTCCCCTGGGCTCTCTCAGATGCCTCTGGATGGTTTTTCTCCCTTATTTACAACGAAAACCTTCCCCCTAATAATGGAGCAGTCACGTGATGGTTTCTTTACCACAACACCTAGCATGTGGCTATCTTTCAGATTGTGGAGTGAGGAGCCCAGATGAGTACTGGTCAGCTGGAGCCAAGGCCACTGAGGACTCAGGCCGAGATGTGGAGGCATTTTTAAAGAGACTGGGGGACTCGGGCAGAGCCGCTGTAGATCCCTGCCCTCCCTAGGTCCAGTGAGATGAGTTTCTCTGTGAGAATGCCAACCTATGGCTGGGGTGCGTGGGCTAGGGCAGCCACTGGAGTCCACTCAGTCCCCAAGTTCCCAGATCTGCCTGACTGGTTCTTTACCCCCGGGCTCTAACCCCTGTCTTACCCTTTCCTCCCCCATCTCTGAGGCAGTTTCCCTCCCTCAGTGTTATTTCCTGAGGAGCGCCTTCCCTGGCCACCCCTAGGAAACACCTCCAAGTACTGGATATCATTTTGCTTATGGCTGTCTGGCATGCTGTCACCACCTCCTCAGGTTCCTCCATGGCTTCCCAATACCTTCCTCATCCTCTGCGGTGTGGAGTCAAGAGTCTTGATGGGTGCTGTTCAGCCTCTGGCGTTTTTTGGTAGTGTCAGGGATGAAACCTGGGGCCTCCCCTCATGCACATTAGGCAAGCACTCTGCATCCTCACTCTCTTTTAGTCCTTTATACAGAAGCACAAGCGTGAGGTGTCTGCCTCTGTGGCACGAAGGGGGACTTGTCCCAAAGGCCCTGAAGATTATTCTAAAAGAAAAACGGGGCAACGGAATCTAGGGACCCTCCAACCCCTTTGGAGTTGGACCACCGCGTGGGATGAAAGAGGGCCACAGAGCTGGGGTCCGACTCTAGAATGAATCCACACTCATGGGGCGTGGGGGCGGGGAACAGGAGGCACAATACACAGGGGTGATACAGAAAACTGTCAGAGATACCCAGAGGGCAAAAGGGAGGCAGATGCAAAGCTGGGCACCCCAGGTTGAAAGAAAACTCCTGTGGGGCACGGACACAGGAGAACTTGCCAGTCTTGGGAGACACCCCAAAAAGGGCAGAGGAGTAGCCCTGGCAGGAGGCCTGTAGGTTACCTGGGGGAGGCTGTTCTCCACTTGTCCCCAAGTGTGTGTGCTTGGGCACAGCACCGGGAGGGCTCTTTCCTGACTGGAAATGCTGGGCAACATTTGCCAAATTTTCCTTTGCCCGCCTATCTTTCAAGCTATTTCTGTCTCCTTTCCCGGTATTGAAGTGGACTCTGTCCCTGACCTTCTCCTGGACACTGCACCCTTAGGTACAGGGTTGGAGGCTCAGAAAAGTGTAAATGGGGATCTGACGACCTCATCCTCTTTATAACTCCACCCCTTAACTTACCCATGTGATTGAGGCCCCCAAAGCTGGAGGGTGGAGGAGCTATGAGAAGATGAGAAACCCTGTCAAAAGGGCCCCAGTGAAAACCATCCAAGGAGAGATAGAGGATGAGCAGCTGAGGCTGGGAGAGCGGACAGTGTCTCCCCATGGGGAGTCTCTGCCAGGATGCCCCTAGCCAGGGCAGCACTGCCCTCTGAGGACTTCACACAGTTACCTGAGCTGCACCCAAGGTTCTGTGTGCCACCTGCTCTCCTGAGCCCCAACTCTCCCCAGGCCAGCTCCTTCCTCCCTATTTGCCCTCCAAGGATGCTAAACCCCTCCATACTCTCCTGTGGGCACCTCACTCTAATTGTGGGCACCCCTTTGCTTGACTAACAGTCCCAAGCAGGCACATAGGGGGACCTATGCGTTTGTGAACTGCCTAGGTGTTTAGCTAACGTTAGTCCAACTGAATACTAAATGTAAGCTGCAGTTAGGTATCATGGTGCTGTCTTCCCAGCTGCTCATGAGGATGGGGCACGAGGACCACCATCTCAGGGCCTGAGTAAAATCCGTTCTCAAAATTAAAAAGTAAATGAACAGGCTTGGCTTGGTGGCACATGGCTTAAATCCCAGAACTAGGGAAGGCAGAGGTAGGTAATATCTGTGAGTTCAAGGCCAGCCAGGTCCACAAAGCAAGTCCAGAACAGCCAGGGCTACACAGAAACCCTGACTCAAAAACAGCAACAACAACAAAAAAGTAAATAAACAGAAGTCTTGGGGTATAATTCAATGGTAGAGTGTTTGCCTAGCATACAGGAGGCTCTGGATCCAGTCCCCAGTAACAACACACACACACACACACACACACACACACACACACACACACACACAC